ATATTGCGGAGATGGACTTATTAGTAAAATCCTTTGAAGATTTAATTAAGAGTGCCGATGAAGCCTTATATGAGGCCAAGAGACAAGGTCGAAATAGGACATTCATATGGAAGGGAGCAGGTACTTTATAAATACTGTTTTATACTATTCTGAATGACCTGAAAAATAAAAATTTGCCCGTAATAATTTTATGCTATAAATTTAAGATATCCAAGCGTGTGCACTTATTAGGAATTTATTAATTCCATCGAATTTATACGGTCTTATGTTTATGGTAAAAAATCACAGGACAAAACTTTCTTCGGGGGTGTTGTTAATGGCTCTAGATAAATTGTCCGATGCCTCACCATTTGAAAAACTTTGTGGAGAAAGCGCAATCTCACATATGGAACTACATCTTAGGACTTATGTCGAGGTTTTAGAGCGAATCTATTATTCTCCTATGCGGATTATAAAGTTTCGGGACATGCTAAATGGTCTGAAGAAATTCGAGGAAATTAATCACCGTCCTATGAAGTTTGTGCCAAGTTTCGAACATGGTTATTACAACGGGGATGCGAATTCAGAAGATATACACGTCGTTAATTATAATATAGAAATTCTTCTTATATGTATAAGAGATATTTTACATGATATGGAAAGTGAAGATTACCTCTCATCAAGATATATAGCACGAGCAAAGGGGTTTCTGAAGAAAAGCATGGAATCATCATTTGAGACCAAAATTAATTTTTCGCACAAATATATATTTTCAAGCTGGTATATTTACTGGCGCGAATTGATGACAATAAACAATACCCTGATAACATTGAAAGAAAAAAGGGATAATAAATACATAAGAGAAAATATGTATTTGGAAAATATTTGGTAGAATGTGCTTGACGGGATATCGAAAGTTTTACAAACTGATGGTGCGACATTGGGTGATAAACTAGAATCGACCAATATATTGGCTCAAAATGAACCAACTTCAACAAATTTATTATGGTTTGGAGCACTCGATCTGGCACAAACTATTTGTAAGGAAACTCGTGAGAAGGATATTTTAGCACTATGTTACTACGTAGGCGTCGAGTCCTTACAAAGCTCCAGTAATAATTCTATAACATACAAAGCATTGGAATTATTACTTACCCTATCACACAGCAAGTCAGATCTATTCAATGATATGATTCGATTAGAAGTGGATCTTTATATGAGACAGAAAAATAAAAATATTGTAGAATCGGTTAACAAAAAAGTCAAACTTGACAATGCCATTTTTAACCAATATATTGGCTGTACAGTAGTAGATCAGAAATCCGAAGATCTCAATAAAAAAGCTGCATGTTCAAACATAATATCAAAAGCTAACCACTTTTTTGTGGGGCTTATCGCAGAAAAACTCACCTGCCCAATAATGAAAGAGATTACGGGTGATTTGTGTTTTTTAGAATGTTATCATTCCGTTAGTGAATTTGTCGTTGACGAATGGATGTCGATATTAAAAATAGAAAATAGAAATTTTGAGTGCCCAATTTGTCGCACCCTTGTTTCTCAAGATTACATCTTGAGACTTCCACGAAATTACATTCTTAAGGGTCTTAATACGCGATTGGAAGATTCTGGGAAATTCAAAATGTGTGAAATAACCAATGCACCGGGAGATTTTGCAAATGAATTCGAAGAAGATGCATATTTAAACCACATTCACAATGAAATATTACTCGAAAGCTCAACTTATAATAGAGCATATTGGTGGCCGAAAAACGAGAAAATCATTTAGAAGCATTTATGTGGTATACACGTGCATTAAGAGAATACCCTGATGACTATTTGATCAGATGCAAAAGAGCATACAATTTAGAAAAATTAGAACTATATAAGAAGGCACTCGAAGACTATTCGAATGCAATAGAGTCAAAACCGAAGGAGGCATTGGCCTACATATGTAGAAGTGAGATATATCAAATGTTAGGAAAATCCAGAAAAGCATTCAAAGATATCAATATTGCCTTGGAAATCAATAAAAACGATCCGTTAGCGCTTTTAACCAGCGGAAATATAAATCTTTCACTTGATAATTATGAAAGGTCACTGGAGGATATTAAGAAGGCATTGGAAATTGAGCCAAGCAACCTTTCCGCATTGATGATGTGTGGAAATGCATACTTCAAGAAAGAAAATCACAACGAATCGTTAATATATTACAAGCGAGCAAACGAAATTGAAACTGATAATGAAGACATCCTTTTAGCATTAGGGAAAACCTTGTATGAGTTAAGGTCGTCAGAGTGTTATTTTTATTTGGGAAGTTTACTAAAAACACAACCGAATAATGTTGAATTATTACTTAGTCATAAAAAACTATATGCAAGTTTACTTAAATATAACGCGGGCGATCTGGCGAATAAACTATTGATAAAAGCTTTTTGCCAAAATACCACACTGACAGAATTGAATCTATCTAATAATCAACTAGGAAAATGGGTAGGAAAGGAATTATCCGAGGCGTTATGCGAGAATACTTCATTAGTTAATTTGAACCCAAGTGGAAACAAAATTGGTGAATCAGCAGTAAAAGAACTGGCTGATGCCCTATGCAAAAATTCTACCTTGTGTGTATTGAACTTGGAATCAAATTGCATAGGAGATTTAGCGGGAAATGCCCTGGCTGAATCATTATGCAAGAATACTGCACTGACCACATTGAATTTAGCCGACAACGAACTAGGTGATTCCGCAGGAAATTCATTGGCTCGGGCGTTGAGCAATAATTTTTCCTTGACTAATTTGAATCTCAAATGCAATCAACTAGGCGATTCGACGGGCGAAGCATTTGCCAGAACACTATGCAAAAATGTCCCCCTGAAAGTCTTGAACCTGGAGTCAAACTATATAGGTGATATGGCAGGGGAAAAGTTTGCAGAGGCACTTCTTTTGAACAAAAACTTGATAGATTTGAATTTATCCAACAATGTATTGGGTGAATTATCAGGAAGGGCATTGACCAAATTACTTTGCAAGAATAACATCTTAATAAAATTAGATATTAGCAATAATGAACTGGGTGAGTTAGGAGGAGTAGCACTAGCTGAGGGACTATGCAATAATGTTACACTAAATTCATTGAATATTAGTTCGAATGGTATAGGAGAATCGGGAGGGAAGGCACTGGCAAATTCTTTGTGTAAAAATAAGTCACTAACTAGTTTAGACATAAGTATGAACGGAATTGGTGAATCTGAAGAAAAATCACTGGCTGATAAGCTTTGCGAAAAATTAGAGTCGGAAGGAAAGATACTCGCAGATGCGCTATGTAAAAACACAACTTTGATGAACTTAGATCTTGGATATAGTGGAATAGGAGAGTCAGGGGGGAAGCAATAGCCGAAGCGTTATGTAAGAATACTACCTTAACTAGGCTGAACTTGGAGCTTAACGGAATAGGAAAACTTGCAGGAAGAGCAATAGCTGATGCACTATGTAGAAATAATACTCTGACGGAATTGGATCTGTCTAAAAATAAATTGAATGAATTATCAGGAAAAGTGCTAGCTGAAGCACTTCGAAAGAATACTTCATTAATCAATCTGAACCTTGAGCACAATAATATAGGCGAGTCGTCAGGTGAATCTTTTTTTCAAAGCATTAAGCGAAAATACAACCCTAACTAAGTTGAATATGTCAAAAAACAAATTGGGAGAATGGGCAGGCAAAGAATTGGCCAACACATTATACAAAAATACTACTCTGATTGATCTGAATTTGGAATCTAATTATATAGGAGAATCAGCGGGAAAAGCGCTTGCTTATGCACTTTGCAAAAACACTACTCTGATTAAACTGAATCTATCTGAGAATTTGCTAAGTAGATCTGCTGGAACAGCGTTTGCCGAGGCAATTTGCAAGAATATTTCCCTAACTGATCTTAATATAGGATATAATAAGATTGGAGAATCAGTAGGTTCTTTTTCTAACGCATTATGTATGAACTCAACTCTGACAGTCTTAAATCTCGAATCAAATTTTATAACAGATTTAGCAGGAGAAAAGATGGTCGAAGGTTTAAGCAAGAATACTGTATTAAATAAACTAGTTCTCTCTAAAAATGAACTGGGAGAACTATCAGGTAAAGCATTGGCTAAGGCACTTTGCGAGAATACCGCTTTAAATATTCTGAATTTGGCATCAAATAATATAGGAGATTCTGCAGGAAAAGAGCTGGCTAAAGCACTAT